GTTTCGCCTTAGAAAAAATTTCTTTCAAGACAGGTGTAGGTAGTGTGCTACATGAGGGCCAAGTTTCTCACGAACACCACGCGGGTCTCTGGCCCAATGAGTGGCGTTTGATAGTAATACTTGCTAGAGGACTGCTTTTTTTAAAAAAAAATTCTTTTAAGTGAAAACCTTTGGGAGGTCATTTCCTCCCAAACTACTCCTCACTCCAAGTGTCTTCTCTTTTCTCAGAAATTATTTAAGTGTGGGAGATGTCAGGTTCACAGATCTTGCCTCAAATTCCTCAAGCTTCTCTGAGCCTAAGAATCACTTGGTGTCACTTGTTTAAAGAGTACTCCTTGCTTCCATCCCAAACCTGCTGACTCAGGATTACCTGGGCACGTGTTTTTTTCAGAAGTTCCCCCAGTGGATGTTTATAATCAAGATACTGTGGGAAACACTGAAACCTAGCCTGCTCCTTTTATCCCACAGATGGTCAGGCTGCAGGACTTGGGGAGGTGGCTTGGGGAGACGTCCGCCCTCTCCCCACCCCCTCCCCCCACCGGAGTATACACTCAAGTATGAATAAAACAATACGTTTCTTGTAGAAACGCAGCTTTAAAGCAAGTCCCTACAGGACTACCTCCTAAACTCCATTATACAGAAGCAATTGAATTATTACTGGACTTCACTAATCACATGGTCACCATTCGTCCCACTTCCCAGCCGGAGAAATAATTCCTTTCTATGTTTATAATCTTTATAATAGTTTTAACAGTACTGCTTTTTCCCAACAAGGAAACGAACTGTTGAGGGCACCCAGCTCGGTGCCTCTGTTATCAACATGACGTGGACCAGCTGCAGCAGCATTTCTGCAGTTTGTTAGAGGTGCAAGCGAGCGGGCCCGCCGGACTGAACCCGCTGAATCGGAATGGCGGGAGCTGCGCAGTCTGTGGTTCAACCAGCCCTCCAGGTGATCGTCATGCAGGTCAAGTTAGAACCACTGTCATGCACGTTAACACGCATGCGCTCACTCCACCGTGTGTTGATTTGGAAAGTGAAATGTGTAGGTACACGGCCACCTGGTTTTTGTTTTTGTTTTTGTTTTTTTGGCTCCAGAATGCAGTTTTAGTTTCGGGGGGGGGGGCAAAATTCAAATCTTGTTTTCTTATTTGATAAATGAAATACCTTACAATTTTAAGGGTCCAGCCCAAGATTAAGTCCACTTTTTAACAGCAGGACGCTCAGAACACACCTGGTCACAATTTCCATTTACCGAGGGCGTGTTACGTGCTCAGCCCTGCTCCACCAGCGGCGATGGGACCAAGCCCACCGCAATCCTCGCCCACGTGCGGTCACGTGAGCTGCAGGTACAACCCGAGGCCGAGGCCGGGGCCAGCTGCGGGAGGGCCTAGCGAGGCGGGGGCGGGCCTAGCGAGGC